CGTGAGAGCGTCTGAAGCCTTGTTAACTGGAAGGCCATAGGATCGAGAGTAGACTTTCCGGTCCAAACGCCTGGACGAAATTTGTAAAGGATGGAAACTGATTGTTCGTTTCTGCAAAGTTCGTCCGAAACCAACATCTCAAGTGTCTCATTCCGTATGATTCCAAAGGGGGCGACTCGTGGTGTAACGGTTAGACTGACCCTCTTCCACCGCTGGGACTGGGCGTGGATCCTTGACCTATGCAAAAGGAGTTTGTGGTGGGCAGCGCTGGTTCGCAGAAGGGTTCCTCGAGATTCCCCCGTATCTCCTGCCTTCATTCCACAATATTTTCTATGATGAGGCTAACTCGTAACTTGGTCGTCTCCATCACCATTTCGCAACTCCTTACCCTTAATCCGACGACGGTAGCGTGAGATTTAGGCTTCGGAACCATGGCCTTCCCGAAAATGCACGCCCAACAATAAAGTACGTCACCTGGAAAGTAATCCATCATTTCAGCAGTATTGCAAGGACACGGACGTCGAGACAATGAATGAGTTGTTTGATTGTAATTTCCCAAGAGGTACGCATTTGGATTTAATTAATACTTCAGAGAGATATTTTTCCACGTAAAAAATGCAGGGTATCTAGCACTATGACACGATCGTGACGCACTACAAAAATTAATTCATATAATATTTAAGTTGTGGATGTGTTTTATTTGCGATACTTTGTTATCTTCGTAATAAGAACCTGAAACTATTTATAAAAATATACTGTCTATAGATGGTTGTCGATACACTTTGACCTAAACTGAATAAAACAAAAGTTGGCATTCAATGATACGTAATCACATGTGAATATCTTTTAGAAATTGGAGGCGTTCAATTGAATTCTTGTTCCGCCGAACGAAATGGTTTCGGTCCCAGTTCCAGCAATAATATATTTAATGTGCTTAATTAATTTGGCAACATCACCAACGATATGTTCATTAAAATTACAGTTCTTCAGAACCCTAACTTGTTTTATAGAAATCCTGTCGCTATGTTTGCAGGCCAGAAAGCTTATAGCCATGGATGGCTGAGAAGGTTTTGTTGGAGAGACCCCACATTTACAAGGCTTCGTATGTGACCACCTGGGCGAGATTATGAAACTAACTCCAACTCTCAGGAAACCTCAGAGTCACTGTGAATTTAGGAATAGATATTTTCCCTTGCGTGACTCGCCAAAAACCAACATCAATTGGATAATCATCCATCGTAGGAGTAACTTCGGTTTTGAACTTTACAATGTCTGAAATTGATGAAAGTAATATATTCAGTCTGACTCGGATGCTTCCTGATGTTTTGTATACAACGGCAGTCTCGCGCGTATATCTCCCGTCTGTGGAATTGATTTCAAAATGAACACTTTCCAGGGTAGCGATTCCTATATGTAGATGTTTAATCCAAGGCAGCTAAAAACAATATCAATATTGAAAGCGAAATCTATATTGAGAAGAAAAATATATTGCTGGTGTCGGAATGTAAAGAAACGGAAACGAATTAGACTTTCCATACACATTTGTCACGTTTTATTAGTAAATACATAAAACTTACAAGGAATGAAATGATGACTTGAATTGCAGAATCTATAAATATAAATTGTTTAATGTTGAACCTTGTGTAGGGTTCCCCTCAGTTTTCTAAGTAGGTTGAAAGAAGCAAAATAACAGTTTGGACATATTTACGAAAATAAAATATTATATTAATTAAGGTTGCGGTGTAACTTTCAAAACTTTCAGGAGGGCCACAACCACCCTGCACTCACTGCTTTTAATTTATTTATTACAGATGTAAATACGTGGATAATTATTTTTAACTTTGCTTATGTATTTTTAGTATTTACTAATTTCCTTATTCTAATTTAACACCGTACATTCAGAAGGTGTCCCAAGATGGATCCTCTAGTCAAGTACAATGTACGCGAAGTTGATTTGAAACATTTGGAAAGGAGTTTGTTGTGAAATCTAATTCTATGGTATGGATTTTTTGTTAGACTGAATTCGTTAGTGCTGGGATTTGATAGAGATTTGTGTCAAGGAATATAATGTGGTGATCTAATGATACAATGTTAAATTCCTTATGAAGCTGATTCTTGTAAATGAACATTGGGGCTTTTGTTAGGGATATCTGAAATTGCTATTGAATTATTTGTAGTTTGATAATATTTCTATGAGTGGCATTAATGCGAACGGGACAGGGATAAGTAATTGACGGTCGGGTCTTATTATGGTTTTGTATATTGCAGTATTGCATTGTAATGAACTGTCTGTGTATATTAATGATTTTAAATGATAAAATATGCGCATGCCTAAGGAGGAAATTCATCCTTATGCTGCCCTTGAAACCTGCGTACGTCTAAAGTTGCCTTTCTGAGTGCCGTGCCGTGCCGTGCCGTGCCGTGCCGAGCCGGCCGTTCCGTCGCCGCAGGGCCCGACCGCGCCGAATAAATCTCGCGTGCGCTGCCGGGCGTTTGGCGATGGCTTTTCGCAGCGTCGCATATTTCTGCGGTGCTTTGAGCGGTGACAACGCTGTCGACGAAGACCACGTCCACCCCCTCAGAGAGGTGCCTGACCGAGCGACCGACCAACCCAACGACCCAACGATCGATGGATCGAAGAGTCGAAGTCGAGCGTGTGCCTTACTACACGTGCGCCCACGCCCGCGAGGTGTGGAATGAATGAAGCGACGAAAAGCGAATTCATTGACTGAATAAACAAGCAAATTCATGAGGCGCAGCTACTGCGTTGCGACCTGTTAGAATGAAACAATTTCTGAATTAAAATGTTCAGAAGTACACTATCGACAGAGATATTCAGGATTTTAAAAACGTCAATGTTAATAATTTTAAATTAATTTAATGTAAATCTACTATGTAGGTTGCTTTATTGCACACAGTATATGCATTCATGATGAGATACGAATAAAAACAAACCAAACAATAACTTGTTTTAAAAATTAATTAGTTAATGAATTGATAAAAATATAGGGCTAATAAGTTCGAGTCCCAGGAATAAGACATTGAAATTATACATTTGTACACAAATACTATGATCCGTAATGCTATTCGATTTCAATGAATTGTACATAATAAAACCACTGTAAATGTTTATAAGCAATTACATGTTAAATTTTGCAAATTAGTGCCAATAAATTTAAATAAATACAATAACTTGGTGCACATTTAGATTAATGTCGATAATATTGTGAAATGAATAAAGCAACCCGCGTTACATTGTTATGCAACCTGCGTTACATTCAATTCGTGAAAAGAAAACGTCCTTGTGGAGCCATATTTTCCAGATAAGAGAAAATACTTAAAGAACTTCGTTTTACTTTTATTATTGATGAAATAAATACTTACGTTCTTGGACTTTCGGGGACATGGAACGTGAATTTGTCATATAAAGTCAAAGCAAAGAAACGATACAATTAAAGAAATCACTTTTCGATGTACGGGCTTAATATTTCACGTTCAAATTTACAGAGTAACTAGTTTCCTTGTTTGATCTTCTAATGAAAGTAAATACCTTCAATTATTTAAAATATTTACAAACTATTCACACTGGTTTGAAAATAATTTCATAAAGTGTCCGTTCATTTACAAAGAATTTGGTGACGCGGCAGAAAGTCCCAATCCAAGGAATATGATTCATTCAGTTATAAAGTTGGTAATGGTCGGGAGCCCTATCACAAACAACCCTGCGAAGCACCACATTCCATTCTGTGTATCGGGGTGTTTCTATAACATCTTAAAACTTTATTATTAGTTCGTACAACAAAGGGTTTCAGAACCCACACTAGTTGCATGAGCATTTCAATACCAGTTGCATTGAAACAATCACAAAATAAGGTTTACATTAAATTAGTTCATAGAACATAAATAGATATAGAATAAGATTTCATGAAGTAATCAATAATTAGTATGTTTGCCTTCAGTTTGCAATTTTTCCTATATTACTAGATATGAACTTCCTAAACTTCAACTTTTGAAGTTTGTTTACGTCCTGCTATACCACCCCTGGAATTATATTTTGCTTTCAGTAACAAAAATTAAAATTTGTTTATGACTGTCAAACATTGATTCAGGGTTGTTTACAGAGACAAATTTTGGGAGGAGAAATTAAAAATGTTTTGGTCGAATGTGTCATAGTTCAGATTTTGTAAAATGTCGTAGGCTGCACTCGTCATGCTGCGATAAGATTTTATGCGTTTTCATGATTATCCGAAAATAATTTTGCTTGAAAGTTTCGGGACAATTAAAAAATCAGTAGTTAATGAAAAATGTTAGGGGGTATTTCCCCTCATTTTCCTCCCAGTGGTCCCGCGCCTGATTCATTGCAGAACGCAAGTTGTATTTCAAGACTTCGAAGTAATATAACAGTGTGTTCGTAGGCTTCCGCGGCCGGGGTCATTGGATACGTGACTGTTCGGGGTGAACCGCGCCTCAGTCGATTCAGCTGACGTTTCAGCCATCGTGTTGTCATACAGAGTGCAGCTTTGAAGAAGGCCAGAACAATCCGTAGTCCCGTAAAAATAGCGTTGAACTGCATTTCGGAAGCCAGTATTATATTAGCCTTCTTCAGAGCTATCCTGCATAGCTCTGAAGGTCACAACACGATTGCCAAAACGTCAGCTGAATCAACTGAAACGTGGCTCACCTCGGACAGCCAAGTATCGTAATATAATACTGATTTCTGAAATGCAGTTTAATGCTATTTTTACGGGACCACTGCCTGTACTTCGCAAAATCTGTTAAATTACTTTTTAAAAGCAATATATTTTTGTAGCCACCAACATAAATTACAGAGATGCTTCTTACAGAAAACCTAAACAAATGTATCAACACAAATGTATTACAAGTTCCATCCAAGAACGTCGCTCCATTCTAGCAGAGAAAAAATCTCTCCGTTCAAGTAAACCAATATTTGTTCATATCTGAGAATCTTTGCTTTAAGTGCTGCCCCTCTTGAGATGAGGATGCAGGGTTTCCGCTAAGAGCAAACGCTGGAGCACATCTGTTGCTGTCGTAAAGCGGCAGTGAAAGACAATCCCGCCTTTCGTTTCCACAGCCTCCGGGATCCGCGCGGAGGCGGCACGCGCGACGTCACGCTTGTGTCGGGCCGCGGTGACGTCACGGGTCCGCACCCGCCGCCGGCAGCGCGCCGGCGCGCCGCGGCGGCGCCGTATTGAGCGGCGGCGCGCGAGCGCGTCGGCGGCGACGGTGGCGGCGCGGAGTGCGGTGCGCGGTGCGGGTCACACGGGCGACTGACGGCGTCCGAGCAGCGACGAGCGCGGCATCGCAAGCGACGCGGCCAGCGACTCCGGGCGCAGCGCGTGAGGCGACGCGGGGCGAGACGCGCGGCGAGACGCCCGCCGAGATGGTGAGCTCCAGCGCAGCCGGGGAGGACGGCCCCGAGATCAAGGCCATCGAGTCAGGTGAGCGGCGACGCGGAGCGCCAGCGAGCGACCGCGTGCCCCGACCCTCCCCCACCCCACCTCTCCCCACTCCGCTCCAACCTCGGTGTGTGCACTTCTTACGCCCCCCTTGGACCCGGGTTGTTAATCACATATTTTATTGCCCAATTCTGTCAGTACTTCACTGCTATTTGGTATTTTTTCCCAATAGATTACGCAGGTACCGACAGCTTCGTCTTTCCTCAGATCGTCTATCGTCTTTTGACTCTCCTTCACGCAGATCGCTTGTTGTCAGTGTTGTCAATGCGGAATTATGTGTTTTAGTGACATGCTTAGTGATTATTTGTGATTCTGCATTTGATGTGTTCCCAAAGAACTCTATTTCACAACGTTCTGGAAAAACCTTTACTAACGAAACAAATCGGAGAACTGCGCTTACGACAGCACTAGCGTATCAGTACGTATCAATCAGTTTTTTCGTAGTACAAGTATCGACATTGCTTCTTTCGTTCGTGTCATTGTGGTGAATTATACTGACATCTTGATGACGGTACAGCCAATTTAAAACAACCAGTCCTATTGTCGCCAGTACTACTTCACAGCAATTCCGCTGTGTTCGTCGACACCTGCAACAGCGTATAAATATTTATCCATCCCCTTTAGCGATCCTTACTGTGGACGACCGACCCCCGACAAGCCACTAGGACCGCAAGTTCTCGAGCTTTCGTGGCCGCGGCGCTTACGTAACGGCGCCTTTGTGGCTGCTGCGGCGGCGCCGTGGGGGGCCCCGTGACACGCGGCCGGGCGGCAAAGGCCTCTGCGGCAACAGCAGCTGTTCGGCAGCGGCGGCAACTTGCACGCGGCGGCTCGTGAATCGGGCCCCGCGGCCCCGATTGAACGTTGCGCGGTCCGCCATGTTGCGGTCCCATTGATGAGTCTCATTACGCGGATGCCCGGCAGCGCCGGCACTGGCCCCCACCCGCCGCCCCCGCGGCCGCCCGCGCCGCCCCGCACCGACGCTGGTTTACGACCGGCATCGATCCGCCCCCGGCCCGAGGACGGGCGCCACCCGAACCCTCCCACCCCTGCCCGACACCACCGGCCGCACCTCACCCACCCACCCCACCCACCCCACCCCACCCCACCCCTTGCCCCGGCGCGTGGGAAGCCATGGGGATAACACGCGAACGTATTTATACTTTTGAAGGAAGGTTGAGCAACGGGTAGGACGCACGTCATAGATATAGTGAATTATGAAGTTTTTAATATAAAAATGTTATATGCAATTTTGAGAATGTGTGTGTGTGTGTGTGTGTGTGTGATAGAGAGGGAAAGAGAGAGAGAGAGGAGGGAGAAGGAGAGAGAGGGAGAGAGAGAGGAGGGAGAGGGAGAGAGAGAGTCACTTATACTTAACGCTACAACAGATCAAATATTTTCATAATTTTAAATTATTTTCTCGTGATTATTTTATAAAAATGCATTTTGTATAATTTCTTGTTACCTACGCAGGGAATGTTTTCGTGCTATAGAATACCTCTTTAATGTTCACAATAAAGACGACTAGGCGAATTTCTTTTCAGAATTCATGTTTACTTGTTGATTGGAAAGAAAGAAGTATGACTACATACATAAAACAGATTGAATTTTACTCATTTAATATTAAAGTAAGAATTTTGCATTTACATTGAATGAAAAAGTCTCGATAAATTACACCTCAAACAATTCGTACATGCTATAAATGTTTCGCAAGAATATTAAATATGCGATTATGAAACCGCTAAATGAAAATGTAGATAAAAAGCTAAAATTCTATTAATAAATTAACCTTCTGTCAGTTACGTCATAAAAACAATATTGGTCATTTGGAAGGTTTTCAAATTCATATGTATTATTCGTGATAGAAACACTAGATAATATTTTAGATTCCTAGAATACGTATTTTGTTAGCGTTCTTAACATATTAAAATTTAATATTACGTCGGTAAAACTGCCATAGAAATAACACAATCGCTTTTCTAAGGAGACAATCATATTTTCAAATGATGCATATGGAGGATGTTTCTTTACTGAGATATTTTTGCTGTAAGTTCAATTTTATTCTGAAATGAAAAACGAGATAGATTAGCTGACAATTGAAACTCAAGAATCATATGTTTAATAATGAATGGATTAAGAAGAAAGCTAAATTAAAAGACTTCGTAAAAGTTCTGTTAATAATTATTACAACATTTTTTAAATAATCATCTCAATTCAAAAATCGTATTTTTCGAAAGGTAAATGAGATGCATGCCATAAACTATATATTTTATTAAATTGATAGTAAGATATAAGTTCTTTTATTAATTGGCATTATTTAGTAGCTTCTGATAGTTCCGTAACTATCCGAAAGAATGCAGGACATTGGCCAAACGTTACACATTAAAATTTTGATTTTAATGACTCCTCACAGAATCATACTGGCATTGGCAGTTTGGGTACTCCGGCTGCATTGCAGTTACAGTGAGTGTTGTTTCTTGTTTGAGTTGTACGTTGTACTGTTTCCTTTTCTGCTTAACTGGTGCGAGTTCACGTTAGTGTTAAGACGAAACGCAAACAAAGTTATAATAAAGATGGTGAAAATTTTCGTCAGAATCATTAAAGCTATGTACTTATACTTCGGTTTCACATCATCTGTAGGTGAACATCCCAAACTTCAATACCTAATTTGTGAACAATTGTCCAAAGAAGCAATGGTACCAAGTAAAAAAGGTACCTGCGTAACGCGTTTATTTGCGGCTGAAAAACCTGTTGATTATTTTAAGACTTCAAATCAGTGTATTCGGACCTCAATCGCCATGGCTGAACTAATTGCTTAAGAAATGAAATCCCTTACTACCGCTGAGTCAACCAGCTTGCTGTGAAATTGTTAAAACTTTGTTTGTTGAAGTATGTGAAAAAGAGGCTAGAAAAATTCCATTATCTAATAATAAAATTAGAGAAGAATTGAAGACGTATCTAAGGATCATCAAATCCAAGTGAATGAAAAACTTGAAGAGCAAAAAAAATCTGCTGCTTAAAGTGTGTACGTCCAATGTTAAAACTGGAAACTCCCAGGTTCTACATTTGTTAGATTTATTTGCGAAAGAAAAGTTGTTGAACATTTTTTTGCAACGATCGTTCCGAAAATACAACTAGAGTAGACATTTTACAGTCAGTGTGGAGTTATTTTATCACTGCTGGTTTATTTTGGAAGCTATGTTTGGATGTTTGTGTAGACAGTTATCGTCAATGAACTGGGTGAGAAATCCTTTCATCGATTTTGCCTATGAGATTACTTTGTTTACTACTGAAGAAGAAAATGGACTGACTGATGTTAGAAATGACCGTGGTTCTAAACTTACATTACTATTACATTATTACATTTCAACTATTACATTACTGTAAATTAGTTGAAGAATCTGAGGCGGCGTCAACATTAAAGAAAACTAAAGTGAACTTTACATGCTTTTGGATCCTTCTGTTAAATGGATATTCATTGACCTCAAAGGAAGCTATGAAAGCAATAATTCTACCGTTTTATACTTCATATATCTGTGAAACAGCTTTCTAGACAGTAAACGTCATCAAGATAAAAAATTGTTCTCAACCTAAAACTTTGGAAAATGGCATGAAAGTTTGCTTGTCAACCATTGGGTCCAGAACGGAACTTATAATGAAGGGATACCAGGCACAAAGTTTCCAGTAGATTTTATTTTATACCATTTTTAAGATATTTTTCAAAACAAAATTGTAATATTCTGTAAATTCGTATTGCTCTGACCTAGTAAAATCACGCATTTTCTAATTATTTACAATTCTGACCTAATTTTTAGGACGAAAAATAGCAAAAACATTTAATAGTTAATTATGCAAAATAGTACATCAAGTGTGCCGCGACTAAATAGCTTTGGGTTAGTGTGCCACGAGATGAAAAATGTTGGGAACTGCTGCGCTATGGGAAGAAATATTAAAACTATTTCTTCTTGAACTATTTCTTCTGCAATATTTAAATATTGAACGGAGGTGCGTCTAATTACTGTATTACCATATTCAATTTAAATTTATATCTGAGCGTATTTTCTTTCAATTATACACATTCAGATCAAGTTATGTGGTTTCAACGAAAACTGTTCTCCACAGTAATTTTAACGTGATTTGGAAAACAATGCCTTTATAGATACCGTAGGTTTTTCAAAGTTTAAGAATGGTAAGTTTTGCTTGAAATCAAATCTAGAGAATTGACGTTAGGATAAGAAATTTTACGGGAGAGGTGACTCAGAGCATTAACTGATGTCAATGCAGGGTCTCTGACTGGAAGGTCCTAGATTCGACTGCCATAGGTGGCAAGGTTTTCGATACTGGTTTGTCAGCTAGGTGGAATTCTGCCGCTGTGTGAAGGAGAATTCTACCCGATGGCTGCTCTGATCGGTTTCTGCGGCTAATATCGTGATTTTACATCTCCAGGCCGTGAGTACTTTTTGTTTATCATGCAAAGAAAATGGGTGCATCTGAAATGCATATATAATGGATGGAAGTTCAAAACGTTGTTTGTAATAAGGTAGGTGGGTTAGGTTCTATTAGTACAAAATATCGCCAATATGATAGCACCAATTTGAATAGCTTTGTTCGCGCAATTCCAAGATGTGGCACGCCAAGGCTCGGCCCTGCGTCCTCCGCGATGTACGAGGACGTATGTATCCTCGAGCCCAGCAATTGCAAAATTCTCAACTTAGTTTACATAGACACAGAGGTATGACTGACCTGGACCCTGTTGCCTCGCGTAACTACTAAAATATTTCCATTGGATTGCAATCGTTGTCCAAGACTTCTACTGTACACACGCTTTGGCCGTTTGTCCAAAAAATACTCGCGTGCGGGCTACCCCGCGTCGAAAATAGGCGCGCCAACGTTTCGGTCAACAATTTCGACGATGGACGAGACAACCGTAGTGGAGGGGTTGGCACCCAATTTCCTTGGTGGCGGGGGGGCGGGCGAAGGGACGAAGGGCGAAGGGGGTCGGCAAGCGGGGGCGTTTGGCCCCGAGGCCGGGCTTGGTCCAGTGCGGCTGCAGTGCGGTCGCTTCGTTGAGCAGCGGAGCGACCGCGGCGCCCGGCGCTGCAGAGGGGGGGG